TTCTTCCTCCATACGCGCTCCCGACGGTGCATGCCCTCCGAACGGTGGAAAACTGAGCACCTGAAGTGGTGGTCTAGGGCCAGGAATCGACGACAGCCGTTTGTCTGTCCACGTTGCCCGAAAGTCCTCGTTCAGATTTCTCGACAGTCCCTCCTTCTCTGCCATGTCAAACAGATCCGAACTAGGTGCAAAGCTCTTACATCCATCAAGAACTCCCCACAGACGATGCCAATTTGATGGGTCTTCTCCTAGATCTGGAGTGAACCGGTGGAAATAAGTTCCAGTCTGTTCAAATCGCCTCCAAGCCATCCGTGAACCGCCGTGAACACTTGCAAGAACTTAACACCGGAAGTGTTTCCGGTGAAGAGCCTCCGACGCTCAAGTCAGTGAGAGAGAAGAAGATGAGCTCTGCTCAGTAGGAGCAGCAACTGAAGAACGAATGGAGAGAATAATAGTTAGGGTTTGAAGTTACCTCAGCTCCTTTATATAGGAGTAGAAACACTTACTTGAAGTACCTAAAATGCCCTGGCCGACTTACAGAAGTGTCCAAAATGCCCTGGTCGGTTCGCATTCCGCCCACTCCTGAGTCAGCATCTAGATTCCTTCTTATCCTGTGTGAACTTAGCTTCATTTTGAGATTCTCCATATGTTGTATCTAAGTGTATCAAGTCGTCGGAGGTCTTGGAAGTCAACTTGGGGCCTTGCCAAGTCGACCTAAGGTTGCATATGTATCCAGGGCTCCTAGAGTGCCTGCTTGCCTTCTTCAGAGAAGTCGTCTTATACTCGGTCGACTTCCTAAAGTCGCCTAAGGACCGTTATCGGACCGATGATGGCCTATGAATGGCCAATGGGCCAAGTCGACATCGGAGATGTCGACATAATGAAGTCGTACGTGGTCTTTCCTCAGTCGGGTAATCAACATTTGAATCGGGCTATGATAATAGGGCTATATTAGGTTCGGTGTTGGCGATCAGGAGTCTTTTATTGTCGATCGTCGGATTTATGTTGGCGGTCAGTGGTGTGTTGTTGGCGATCTTCATTTCTGGAGGAGATCGAGGTTTTGGTGGTAGAGGAGGAGGTAGATATGTGTGGTTGTGTAACACCCCGCCTAGACTTACTAAAATCAGAGTAAATTTTTCGCGCTATAAATGGAAAGCACTTATTTAATTTTCGAAAACTCATATTAATTTTTTGAAAATACTTTAACCTTAATATGCGGAATGGTACTCAACTTTAATCTTAAATCTTTAATCTTTAATATCTATAAACTACTAGGCATGCAACCGAGTATAATTCATTACTCTAAGGCGCCATGAACATCTCAGGATTTAAGCATGCTGTTGTTACCTAATTTTGGCCTCGCCTATTAAAGAATTACATGTGGATATATATATTGAACAACAGTTTAGCAGGTTCTTTTATCTGAATTATATTGATCGAGTTCCCAGAAGACGGTTCACATTCAAAAACCAACTCAGAAAATCCACTTAGACAAACACGTTAATTGCTGACAAGACAAATACCAGTCGGAGTACCAGTCAATTTGTTAGTCAACACATTTATTTATTATTGGGCCCTGCGCGGTCATATTTATTTATTATTGGGCCCTGCGCGGTCATGTTTTATCGTAAAAGCCCATTAGACATACCGACCGGTATTAGTCCAAATATAAATAGGGGCTAAAGAGATAGAGATCAGGACTTTTTATTCTTTCCCTTATCAACAAACAAAGGGACAGCCCTAGAGGGTTCTGAAGATTCATGATCATAATTCCATCATCATTCTTTTCACACAAAAAAGTTCTTGGGTTTCTTTCTTTGATTTCTTTCATTCAAGATATACAAATAATTACTGCAAATTCATATGTTTCTTATACCCCTCATTTACAGAATAGGGGTGTACATTTTATGTTGTTACAAAATCGTTTAACAACACATGCATAGACTGAAATTCTGAAATACTGAAATACTAGTCCGGAATCCTGAAATACTCGTCCGAAATCCTGAAATATTTAATTCGAATCTGAAATTCTGAAATACTTAAACACTAGTCTGAAATCCTAGAATATTAAAATACTAATCTGAAATTCTGAAATACTGAAATAGTAATTTGAAATTCTGAACTACTGACATACTAATAAGAATATTAATCTGGAATTCTAAAATACTGACTAGTCTGAAATTCTAAAATACTGAAATAATAATCTAAAGTTCTGAAATACAGTTCTAGAGTGTGGAGGCAAATATATGTTTAAACATCAATGGCAAACAGACAATAAGCGGATCATAAATAAAGCATAATTAATTAAAACAATTCAAAACATCACATAACACAAACTGCTGGAACACGCCGACGAGGCGGTCCTACCCACGGATCGATATCGGATACCAAACATGTACATACATGATTTCGAATAAACCTAAGCATGCTCCTAAAGGACGAACAGAGATATGCCTTTCTTGAAGGCTTCGATTCGATCTGAG